AAAGTCATTGTTTACAAATGCAATTACGCCCCTTTGAAATGTTGACACTGAAATATTATGGCTACTATGTCACACTGCAGAATACAGTGTTGCCCACAGAACAACTGCTTGATCATGTCATAAGATTATCAATTTCTTAAACAATTAATACCAATTTAATTTGACATTTGACTGAAAAACGTTTTTCCGCAAAGTTGTAGCTTAGAAAGTTTCTTACAAGAATAGTTATTGAAATTTTCGAAAAAGCAATATGGAAAATGGATAAAAGACAATGAAAAAAAAGTTTGGTTTTACCACAGTAATTTCCATATAAACTTCGAATAGTTTGTGCCAAGTCAGTTTCTTTCCAAATGAGTTTAAATTTTGGGAGGCTAATCAGGACCTGGTTTGAAACAGTTTGAGCACTGTGGAGCGAAAATTTCAAATTTTGCATCAGTCTACTGCATATAGAATCGGAACTGACAGCAGAAGAACAAAACAGGCGAGAAACTTAAAGAATATGAAAAGTGATCTCATCGAGTGCAAACCCGAAAATGATAGATTGAAGACTGAACGTTTTGCATAGATATAACACTAGCGAGTGAGTCGTCTTTGGTTACGATTTCAGAGATTGGATTAAATCTCAAATTTGATTATGTTTAAAGCTACTTAGCAGTGTTCTGAGAGAATAAACTCGTGTGCGAATCTGACAAACAAATCTCACATTTGAGTTGCTCATGTATTTTCACTCACAACACAAAAAAAAAACATTCCTGCTTGAAACTCATAAAAACCGGTCAAACGTCAATTGATAGCATGCTTCTGCATTTTGCGTTTATTTTCCTTCCATTGATGCAAAAACACCAGTAATGAATATCGCCAAAATATAAAGCAAAAATGATTGCAGCGTTGAATTTTGTAAGACAAACTCATAGGCAAACTCTTGCATAAGATTTGAGTTTTTCGGAACACTGCTACTTAGAAAACATTCATTCAAGATTCAATGTATCAAATAAATGTACTTGTTTCAAATAAATGTACTTGATAACGATTCAACAATTTGCCACAGAATGCTCGGTTGTTCATTTTCGCTCGATTCTGCAGCCAATGTAGCACGTCCTTTGTCGCCGAATCATAACTAATTGATTCAAAAAACATGAAAATAACGATAACTACTAAGCGGTGCCGGTGGTCTAGTGGTAATCGTGATTGCCTCTCACCCCAGCAGGCCTGGGTTCAATCCCAGTCAGCGCCGCTGGGTTGTTCTGAGGCATAACCACCCCTATTCTGTATTTCGTTTCGAAATACAGAATAGGGGTGAACATCTCTGATCACGCCTTCCTTTGGAAGGGAAGTAAAGTCGTTGGTCCACGGTTCATGAGTTGATGGGTCGATAGGTAGGGTTCAGGTGTGGGAGCTGCTTCCCTGACGTCGGTAGCATTGGTGCTCAGCACGGAAAACAAGATCGACGGAAAAAAAATCAAGGAAATAAAAAAAAGATAAATACTAAATATATTTAATAAACCCTTACACTTCAGTCAATTTTGTTCATGTTGCTAAAAAAATTGTACTATTGATTTTAACCTAAACCATTTCTCAACGATAAATTTGCTTTATATTGAACATGAAGTTTGTTGGATTTCTACAACTTTAACCCAGGGTTACTTTCACTCACTTGCTATAAAAAAATGTTTTCCGGAATTATGAAATCATTAGATGATATAATGATATGTTTTACTTGTAAGTAACAGTAAGTATGTGTCTGACTCATAAAACTTGTCAATTTCGCTTTCAGAGCGTCACAATCAGCGTTCTTATGATTCGTGAGCGTTCACTCAGGGTGAGTGCTCACGAATCGTAAAATCGCTGATTTTGACGCACTGAAAGCAGTATGGACACCCTGTTATGAACCCTTCATATGCCAAACACATACTTCACGACCTCTTCTTGTACCTTACAAATACTAATCATCATTATAACATCTAATGATTTCATGATTCTGAAAAAAAAATTTATAGCAAGTGAGTGGAAGTAACCCTGCTTTTACCAAAACAACGGTAAACCTTCTGGACGGGAGCGAATTATGCTTCTAGAGTCCAATCTTCTTCTTGATCTACTTTTACTTCATTTCCTTACCAATTGGAACTTTACGCTTGCCTTCAACTGTTCGACAGTTACAAGCACAATGTTTGGCGGATTTATAGGCGGAAACCCTGGAAATCGAGAAATTTTCAAACCGAAAAATTCCTTGACCAACCGGGAATGCCATGCCTTATCTGCCCAAGAAGTACACTTCCATCACAATAAGTTGCTGCAACTTTTTTTTTTCTTTTTTTTTGTGATTTTTAGCCGTAGGCTAGTTCATCACATCAACTGCAACTTGTTTATGACTGGAATAATTGTGGACTGGAATGAACTAAAGGTTCTTTAGTTCGGGTAGCCTTAAATTTGGGTATAAATCGTGCAATCGTACATGATCAATAGATAACAATAATCGTTATTCTTTTTTAATTATATACATATAGAAATGCAATGGTAATCGTGACTGTTTTATCACCCCAGTGGGTGTGGCTTTTATCCCAGCCATGGTAGTAAGGATTTTCTAAGGCGTTGAATCTCATCTTCCTTCAAAAGGGGAATATAGCTGTGTGTCTCATGGGTTTGTATTCAAGGGTCTAGGTTTGGAGCCACATCCCTAGCATTGGTGATTGAAATTCGTACCATAGGAAAATAAACAATAAAAAGAGCTAAAACCACAATCTAAGCTCAGAAGCAAACCAGTGCAAGGCTGAATGCATCTAAATAAAGATAAACAACAATAAAATAATCTAAGGAGAAGTGGGCTAAACACTAATAAATAAAAGATGGAATTCAAATAGCATTGGCCACCTAATTGGCAACCATGATTCCAAATTATCGCTAACTTGTTTCTGGGTGAATTATAACTAGTACACTAGCGTTCGGTTGATGATGCAAATATTCTTTTCATTGTATATCCGGCGTCATTCAAGGTAAGGGGTAAAAATAAAAACGGACGAAAAAATAATTAATGTTTAAACAATTATTTTTATAATAAATTAATAAATCAATAAAAACGGACGAAAAAATAATTAATGTTTAAACAATTATTTTTATAATAAATTAATAAATCAATAAAAACATAATTTGTGTAGTTTTGAGCTAAAGCGCAGTGACGAATTAATTTGCAATAATCAGCCTTAGTTGCGTCCCTTCGTTTAGTCGGTAAAGGCGCAGCTATAAAGCAAGACTATGCTGGAGATGGCTGGGTTCGGTTACCGGTCTGGCCTAGTAATTTTTCGGGTTGATAATTTTCCCGACTTCCCAGGGCATAGAGTATGATCGTACTTGCCACACAATTATACTAATGCAGGAATGGTGCACACAGATAAAAATTCTGAATTTTAATTGTGATGTAAACATTCATTCACGTAAACTTGTATTTTATTTCACGCAACCGAGCAACTTGTAAACAATGTTGTTTACAAAAATGGGTTTTTGTATACAATATTTGCATACATACTGAACAGAAATTTACACTACTTTTTCGAACTGTCTATTTATCAATTTTATCTAGACGAACGCGTCATTGGAACGGTACTAATGGATATTTTTGGTCGCTATTGAAAATTTAGACGATTGCTGAATTTATGTATGGGCCCAAATTAGAGGCATTAAGGCCGACATTACATCCAATTCCCCTATCTGGATTTTTTGCTACTGGCAATAATTCAATTATTGGCATAAATACTCGAAAATAATATTTATAAAACGTAGAAATACATATTCAATCCATGCACCAATCTCTTCGATGTACCAATATAATGTAATAAATGTGCAATCCAAAAAAATCAATTTATGCACGTCAAGTTTTAACCAAGCTTCTAACCTTTACGTTAAAGTTTGAACCTGCAAATTGAATTGCATTGAAAATTATGCTAATTTTCAATAATTCTTCTGTTCCCTACTTTCAGCAGCCCGAAAAAATCCTGTCACGTACTGCAACCAGTGAGCAGGATAACAAGATTCAGCAAACTTTTCCTACCACAACCATTGATTTTAATAGCATCTTCATCTCGCTCTGCCACTGCGTCGTTGGAGTTGTGGCGGAAGCAGCATCAACAGGCCGACACCGGCACCTACGGAATAGACAAAGGAGGAGTGTGCGGTGCTCGAAATTTCTCTCTCGGGGAAATACGCGCCATAAAAAGCACTCTAAGCGGGCATTACATTTGAATAAAAATCACCATCAATGGAGGAATGATTTTATTCTCACGCGTAAAAGGAAATCGCCCTCCAATCTGTGGCCACTGGTTTGTGGTCCTGCTTTCGGCGGGATAGGGACTAACCAGCTTGTGCTCCCTTCTGTTGGGTGGTTCGATTTTCTGATGTACAATAGTCGAAAAGCCATCACAAACACTCGCATCACGCTCATGACGGGCTTTTGTTATTGTTGTTGTTGTATGCTGAGCATAGAATTTGAAAAAAAAAAACAGTGGCTCGAAGGGTGTACGACAAACGATGAATTTATAATAGAAACTTTGTTTGTTGATGGTACAAAAATCAAGAGCATGAGTGCAAATAACTTTCAAAATAATCACCCTGCACGTCAACCGCCACACACTGCATTTTAGGCGCTACAAACAGTACAATGAAAATACAAATTCGGCACGCGCTTGTTTCACAACAGTTTTCCTTAGCATTTCTCATCACCCGGCAACGTCAACGAGTCTCTTTTTCTTTGGTTGATCCAGTCCAATATTACTTTTCGGCGGTCCCTCTCGCTGGTAAACGCTTTGTTTATTTGTATGACTATTCGTGAGATTCGTCAGCCACTTTCCTCAAGAATAATTACAAATCATCTGTTCGAATTGCCCTCAAATTGGCAGCTTCCCTTCTATTGTTGTCTTCCAGTTGTAGTGTGCATTCCCTCCCCGGTTAAGTGGAAACCTATCTTACATACCTGGCTGTTGATAAAGTTTAATGAATACAACACACATTGCTTATATTTTAACAACAAAACATTTATTTTGTTAAAAAATAATTCATATATGTTCAATATTTATATGTTACCACCATGACCGGATTCGACAAAAATCGGCCTCAGCTATTTTTTTCTGTTTTCGTGTTTTTTTTTTAATTTTGATAAGTTAGTTTTTTGCGTTGTATAGATAAAATAAAAATTATTATAATCAATAGACAATAATCCTTCAATAATAATAATAATGATAATAAAAACAGACGAGCGCTAACTAAAACCTATTTGTTTCGAAAAAAATTAACTTTTCTGATGTGCACTATTTGTTTTCTGCGTGTATTGGTTACTTGTTTTTGGGGATGTTTGGGAATGCGCCTCCTAATTCAGTTCTTTCATTCATCATGTTCTGAGGTGTTTAAGATAGAATTGATTCTCTTCGTGATTTAAGTTTAAACATGATATTGTTGTTACAGCTGAAAACTGAAAAAAACGCAATATCGAAAATTGATGTTACTTTGTTCTACACGTTAGACATAGTGGCGGAAGTTGTGCGCACTATAGCGCATCATTGCACTTCTTCCGACACTTTGTATAACGTATAGAACTAGAGTAAAATTGATTTTTGCTAGTGGGTTTTCCCAGTTTTCAGCTGTAACGGTAATATTTTCACCCCATATGTCGATGCAAGGAGCTAACACTAAAGCCCTCTTGTAAAAGGTTGGACGCCTGCCAAAAGGTGTTCCAATAGAACCTTCAAAATGCATTCCATTGTTCAATTCGAACAGCTTTTATCAGTTTTCTGGTGACAGTCGTCCATACTTTTACTGGTGGACTTTTAGTCTACACTAGAAACAACAAGCAGAGCATGAGAGCGTTTTTGTAACCGAGTGAGCGAACATTTATGAAAAGAATCAATCAATGAATTGTTGTTGAATTTTTATGTTTTTTCTACAAAATCTAAACGCCTTTATATAAAAATTTAGACAAAGAAGTTTAATGAGCGATGCAAAATTATCTTGTTTTTCCACCATTAAAACATTAGCTCAATGTCTACGAAGTATTGATTTATCGTTGAGAGAAGCTACCACATTGGTGAAATCATTGCGTAGTGAGCCGCATTCCACTTATTCATTCTGCCCATTGGTTCCAGGATTGTATTTTGGGTACTACTTGCCTGTTCAGCTGCAATAAATCATAACGAAAAAAGAACATGCCTTGCCAAACATAATGATAATTGTCTAAAAACATTCGCTGCTTATACATTTCATTTTCCTTTCTCTAAAGTTTTAATAATATAAATAAAAATCACAAATTTTACTTTTTTGTATACTGAGTATGATTTTCTTTGTTTCGCATTCTTTTAATTATTGTATTCAATTTGGGGAGTTTGCTTTTCTTCCACAATTCTGATATTTTCGTTTAATTTTAAACTAAAATGCCCATATAGCTTGATCTTCTTACTTTTTATAATAATTCGAGAAGAATTCATTGTTAATTTTTCATGACCACCGCCAGAAGCGAGTTTAGCTAAGTTTACAATTTGTTGATTTACTTTTGTTTAATTAGTTTACCTCGTCTTCTTGCATCCTTTTTCATAGATTGAGTTAATTTAAATATATTTTTTTCTTTTATTACATACTTACAAAAAATATTTCATTAATAAAATATTTTTGCTCCTTTCCGTGGTTTGTAGTTTTGTTGCTTCTTTTAAATATAGTTCGTATACGCATTTCATCATGTTAAATTTAAATCTTAACTTATAATCTATCTAGGTAAATTGTGTATAGGGTTGGATTCTTGTTGTGGTTGGTTTACTAATCATTGAAATATTTACTTTATTTGAGAGACATTGGTATGAATTTAATTTTAATTTGAATCGTTTTACACTTGTTTGCTTTGCTGCTGCTCATTGTTTGGCTTTGAATCTTCCTTTACTATTCGCTAAAACTCAGCATTTTGCAGGGATAAGATATAAGCATGGCATTATTAGTAGAAAATGCATTTGGAAACCCATAATAGCGATCGAAATAAAACTCTATCCATGTGTTTCCTACAGACCAAATAGAAGAAATGCGCTTTTATCGTAAGGGGTAGAAAATTGATTAAAACTGCGAAAACGCTGTAAGTATACATCAACGATCACGATCGTATTACATTTGCGTAGTATACTATGTATATCCAATTTAGTTTGTTGTCGCAGTAACTAAAAAGAGGACATCGTACGGCAAAGTATACTTGTGAAATAGTTGCGGCCTCCGGAAGCATAATACTGAAAGTCGCAACTCAGTATGGTAACCCGTAGGCATTGTTAAAAACTTTAAAAATCAATCGCGATCAATCTTGAAATATGTAACCTGATCATTTTCTTACGGTATCGAAGATTTAAAATCGTATACAGTGGTTTGTTGTCGTTCACATCACTTTTTCGTTTGTTTTTTTGTTTGTATTTAATGTTACATCTTGCCTAGATTCAGTAGTTTAGTAGTATCAGCCGAACAGCGACATTATCGCACTGCTAAGGCGGG